TTTAGTAACGATATTTCATAATCTTTAATTAACTTGAAATCTCACAATTTAAATCAACTGACGATGTTTGGTCCTGAAAGAAAAAGAGGTAGAACCACTCGTTTATAGAAGACATGAGTAATTCAAACGCGCAATATCCGATGTCAAAACGGACTGTCAGAACGCGACGCAAATCTCCGGACGATGCGTAGCCGTGAGTTTGATCGCATAAGAGCGAGAACGAGCGATGTTCCGTTTAACGACCGCGTAAGGAGAAAGAGGGAGAGAGAGAGAGAGACCTTAAACTCGAATCTGTCCTCCCCCGAGCCCTCTCATCGCTCTCGCTGTCGTCGCTTCTCTCGCTTCTATGAATGAATTCGTGAACATAAAGCGTCGGTGCGTCTCACATCCGCCTATTTCGGTTGCGGACGTGCGCCCTTCGCTTTTCGTTGGGGGAGAAAATTATTTCTGGCAGAGCCGAGAGCGAAGCGATCTTTTCTTCGGGTGTGGTGCTATACGCGCGGCTCGATTTGCTGCATTCGGACCGATTAACGATCGTTCACGAACACCCGCGGCATTCTAGCGACGCGGAAGACTGCGAGGATCTTGTTACAGTTCCGCCCTTCCAATACCCACGAATCGCTTCAACGTCGCCGAGAAGTTTCCATGAACGCGAGATCCCTCACAAAGAACCCTGCCTCCTATGCGCTTAGTATTAACAGGATCTAGTTCATTATGTAATATCGATAGTTGGTTGTCTAATGCTTGACTGAAGCACGAAGTACATATAACGAAGTAAATATGAAGAAGTTTATTTCGCGAGCTGGGTACTTGAATAGTACAAAAGAACAGCTATCTACACTGGGAAGTCCGTGATAGCAGAAAGTGCATCTTTATCAAAATGTCTACGTAATCGGTGTATCATCAATGTCAAGACCACTTTTTCTATCCTGCCTTCCTATACATCGATATCTAGAGAAAAATATTATCGTACAGTTCAACTTGGTCTCAATCCTGACATATTAGACCTACGAGGCTTATGTGTATTTTTTTTCATTTACTCTTCTTTCTATGTTTCGTGCAAAACGTTATACCCTATTTCTGTTTCTCTATTATTTAGAAAAAATAATTAAGTTCATGTAACCACTGCTATTATTAGCCCAAGATAATTATCAACTAGTGAGATAACTGGTTTTCTTGGCGGCAGTCTACAGAGACAATAAGTAAAAATTGGTAATAAACTTGATAATTCATAAAAATCTAAAATACAAAAAAACCATGATTTTTATATTTTTTTTTTGTTATGTAGGCCTGAGATGCCTGTGATGTCATTTAAGTATCAAGATTGCGGGTGTTACTCTTTGGGTAGTAGGGGTGTTACTCTTTGGGTATGTAGGGAAAAAGTCCCCATTATACCGAGTTTGATTCTATCTTACCGATAGAATCCAATTTTGTAATAAATTATAAAAAATAAAGTGGTCGAAAATAACACGATGAATTTTTTCTGAAAATTGAAAATAGCATTTTATATGGTATATCAGACATTACATTTTTTTTACATTTAAAGAATGTTTTCAAATCAAGAATTTTGTCCTTTTTCTAGTTGAATATATTAATCGTTAATAAAGTTCAATTCATATACATATTTTATCAGGATTGGGAATTAACGCGTTACAAGTTACTTTTTTTCCAATAACAATTTGGTAATGACGTTACTTTTCTTCGGTAGTAACTGTAACGGTAACAAATATAACCGTTACTTTTATCCTTACTTTCAGGCTGCATACGAAAACGTTACACTTTCAGTGACTGTCACGAAAGCACATTAAAGAGTGGTGTTTTCGAATGCAGTCTGAATGTTTCAGAACAGCTGGTGTCTAGTAATGTACACACTTTAGGTGTTTCCAAATGCAGCATAAACCGGATCTACAATAGATAAGCTTTAAGCTGTAAAAAATTGACCAATTCACCATGATCTAGCAATTCTGAGGCTCGATTCCTAACTTATTCGTAACTATTCGTAACTACATAACCAAATATTAAAAATATTTTATCAAATACAATATACCAATATGGACATCTGGAAATGGTAAAATAGTCTTTTTATATTATATATTCAATCGGGACATGTTCTTCTAATCTCGGCGGTGGGATCTTTTTGCTCTATGTAATGCCCATTTCCCCTCGGAGCTTTTAGGACATTTCTCGCGGGCGAAAAGTCTGACAACGCGTAAGGGAGGAAGTTTCGTCCGAGAGAGGAAGCGACGACGACGGGAAGTTAGCGAGAGTCCGCAGGAAAGCAAGGCGCGAAAGCGCATCTGGCGGTAAGCGAGGTGCTGCTGCAGATTTACGCGACGCCTCCTCGGGCGGGGAAGTTTTTGTCTTTCAATGCGGCGCGTGTGTGATTCAACGGTCAGGCGGCGTGATCTCGCATGAATGCAAGGCGCGCGCGCGCGCGCCGGAGAAAAACGCAGCGTGCTCGTACGCGTATACACGCGTAACGTATCGGTGTATCGCGCGGTGAAACTGGACGCTGACAGCTGGAAACTGGTTCCCGGGAGAACTCGCGTACTCGCGAACGTAGCCGCGGAGAATTCAAGAAAAGGAGAAGGGGAAAAGGAGCATTGAGAGACGCCGAGGGATCGTCGTTGATTTTTCGAAAAATCGCCGCGACGGAGGAGTAATTCTGTGAAGTTCGTAGAACCGCTCTCGCACGTCGCGTCGAGGAGAGAAAAAACGCCCGAGATCGATTTAACACGGTTAATCCGTTTTATATTGAAAACGGGGATTGCTGTCTTCGCTTTTAGGCCTCTCGTGAAAAAGCGAGCGGCAGAACTTGAACGTAAAGGGGAAAGAAGGAGAAAGAAGAGAAAGGAGAGAAAAAAGAGGAGAAGTGGGGGAGGGGAGAGGAGAAAAGGAGGGAGAAATCAAGGAGTATAGTAGCACTACTGGCGTCTAAGGCGATGCATGGGCGCAGAAGTTTAGGGGCGTCGTTTCCGAAATGCACAACTTTTTCATTTGCCTGCTGTTACCTTCCGATAAAATTACTCTTCATGTTTAAATTTCAATCCGGGGGTAAGGTAAATTTTTCCTAAAAATCTTGTAATTCAATGAAAATTTGAAGTGCATTTCGTTAGCGATGAAAAACCGCCGAAAAACAATCGAATTCACGAGCGACGAAATGTCTCGAGACTTCTACGAAGGTAAAAGCTCGTGCTTCTCGATTCACCGTGCTTCCCAAGGAAAATCTCCATTTACGTGGGATTTCAATTCACACAATGCCAGATCGAATAATAAAGTGCGACGAGAACTCAAGAAACCGGCGTCGCATTTTGGCTAAAATATCAACCGTAATTAGCTAGGAGCCCGCTGAAATGTAGGATGTTGGAATTTCCGCGGATGAAAGACACTGCGGGCGACCTGCGCTGCAACTCGCGCGCGGCGAATTAAAATTCTCGCCACAGGCACACGCGCGCAACCTTAGTCACAGCTCCGGACTGCTCATGGGAGAAGCAGACGGGGAGACAAAGGGCGACGGAGCGAGCGGGTCGGAATGCGCGAGTACGAGATACAGATAAAGTCGGACAGACGGGGACGGAGTGACGTGAGCTCTCTTGCGTCTCCGCTCGCTCGCGAGGGCGGCGCATTTTTTTCGGCTGTGCGCGACCCGCACGCGCGTGCAACCGCGACTGAAAGAAGCAACACGGTTCCCTCGTGAAGACGAAGAGCCTCCTTTATTGCCGGTCGCACCGGTTGGGGATTACTCCCGCCTGCGAGTATCCGCGAGGCGTACCTGAGAGAGCTCTGACGGGATCACAACGGAGAATCGCCGTTCGGCGATTACACGCGTGAATCGCGCTTCGTCTGCGCCGAGTCGAAACTGTGTACTCTCTCGGCGGAACGGCGAATTCTCCTTGAAAGAGATGTACCTGCGTATCGGCGCGTATTCGAGTATTTATTAACTGGACGCGGACGAATAATAATAAATAACGTAGATGATAACGATTAACTATTCGTAAGGAATAACGGAAAGGATGAGAGACACTACTATGCAGTAAACACACTGAAAGCAAATCAAGTGATACGATCAACCAAATTTATGTTAAACGGACGAAATTGTTGTTCAAACGCACATTTAATTTATCGAACAAATCTTATGGATACTGGTAACGAATCGTCGATCGATCCGACGATTTGGTTGGCAACTGTTTAACATATTGTTACGCGAACGCGTAATTTGTTCATAGGATACAATATTTTCTTTTCTTTTTAACGAGGGGGACCACCGATTTTATCGATTCAATTACTTTTCCTTCTCAGTCTAACAACTAACAATAATAATATTATAATAATATCATAATATCTCACTCAACAACGTAAATGCAATGTAACATGCGTCGTAACAGTTACGTTGTTGAATGGGAAATTATAAAATTGTTGTAATGTTAGTTGCTGTTTACCGTTAAACATCAGAAATATCTCTCTTACACGGAAAAATCTCAGTTCGCGCGAGAGAAAAGAAGTAGGCTCCAGGCGAAAACTCGACGACCAGAAACTATACCTGTGTTATCGCGATCGAAACGACTGAGAACAATCGATTGAACAGAAAGCTTCCTCACGGGAATATTTTTCATTCCAACAATCGAGGGATTTTCGTCTGATCCCGAAATAACAGAAAGTCGGTTACGCGAAAATCGAGTCTCTTTTCCGTGCAGATGTGAAGGAAAAACCGTCTGAAAGCCTGGCGAGCAAAGAGAGACGGCACAAAAGCTAAGAACAAGGCAAGAAATCACAGAGCGCGTAAAGACGATCACGAGCGAATTCTCGCCGATTCTGCACGACAGGTCCAAATACGTCCGTGTGAACCTTCGCACCCGCGCGTGTCACGTGTCACCCCTAAAATCCTATCTAAATAAAGCCTCATGCTCGCGTTCGAATTGAAATCGCAGGGCGAATTCGGCGTGCGCTCGCGACGCGGTCCGCCGTTCGTATTGCAACCGCGGCGATCTCGCTGCACTCACCATCATTTTTCGCTGAGATCGACGTCGACGGGAAGGTGAACGGTACCACGTTGCGCGTGGACCGCGATAGATCCTGCGGCGTGTGAGAGATAAAAGGACGAACTTCACTTCGGCGCGGCAGAATCCCCGCACTCCCGTGGACGCACGGATCCCGAATGGGGGAACCGGCGCGGAAAAACGTTAACGCACCGTGAACGGCCGATCTCGAGGCGGCCGGCAGCGTGATGCCGGGTCCGGAACCGGAGCTGAAGCGGACGGGACGAGCGACGGCGGACCCGAAGGCAACGCAACAAGTGACAGCTTGCGCGTCTCTCGTCTCTGGACGCTCGTAGTTCGCGGCGAGATGCGCGCGCTCGTCGAGGGAGCCACCGCTCAAGCGCAAAGCCACCCGCTCCTTTTGACTTTCGTCAGCGCAACGGCGAGCGTGCTCGGCGTCACGGTGATCGAAATTGCACAAGATCGCGCGCGAATCAGCGAATACGTGGCGCGAAATGCCAGGAGGTGTGAATATCACTTTGTTGGAAGATGGTGAATAAACGTTTCATAGTTTAAATGAATTTAGCGTATTGGAATGCGATGCGACATTACCGACCGTTTCCCTCTATAAGACCCATCGGTCTTTAATATCTCGTCGATACTCGAAAATCTTATTTTTCGAATGAAGATTTCGTCGTGAATATGAATAATTGTCATGAAATGAAATTTACATATTTATGTCGGATACATAGAGCGCGACAATTTTCTCCAAATTTTATATCTTGTTTTCAGCATTATTTTTGCTTCCAAACCCTTTTTAATATTCCGGACAATTTGATTATTTTGCGTTTGATTGAAATATGCCAATAGAACGCACGAATTCGACGTGCATAATCATAGGGTCAAGTAAGATACTGCTTGCGGCAGTTTTATCGGCTCCTGTTTCATCGGTGTTCTACTTTACCGGCACTTACCGACTCTTCCTTCGACCAGTGGGAACTCCGTGGGATCCAGCGATTCGAACTTCCAACCGTCATGATGCTGCGGCTGCATAATGTTTCGCTCGGTGCCCTCGACGACGACCTCTTCGGAGAGATCGGAATATGTATAATATGCACATGTACAATGCGATCCGGAGATTCGAACTGTGAATGCCCGGTAAAACGGTGAACGGTACGACACTTCGTCAGGCACTCCCGTCGTTTCGCGAGATATTCACAGGCCAGCTCGGCACTCGTCACGATGAGTGCGTGAGTCACTCCCGGCATTCTCTCGGCGATAAATCGTGCGCGCGATTCCTCTTCGGTGGCTCGAAAAGGCATAGAGTGCAACGATTTGACTCCTAACCTCCATAATGCGACGAATCCGCGAAACTTTACTCGACACTTCCGACCACCCGTTTCCGCGAGACATTCCCTTGTTAGACGGCACTTGGCTGTGACACACACTTAGAATTTACTTTAGGCGAGGCGCGCGAGGTTCACCTTCGGCGAGTCGCGGGAAAATACGCGGCAGCCTTCTCGACGCCGTCCGTGTTGTACCGCCATTCGTTCTCGAACTGAACGCAGCTTCAGTTGGTGTTGCGACGGTTGCGATTCTCGAAGTACAGACGTACGTATGCGCTGTATCTGCCCGATCTGACCAAGGGATGCCGGGATGCCGGGATTACGAGCTTTCTCGATGTCGATGATTTGTTTGTTTCCGAAAACCGTGCGAAATCCGAAGTAATCCGTTGGGGGATAATCTTGATTTACGGGGGCGATGTTAACGACGACGCGGCGACAAATGCTCGACAAATTCTCGGTAGCCGGTTACAGCGAGATATTCATTCTCGGTGGCTATTTAACGATATTTTGCTATGACAAACGCTTGAAACTTCCTTACAACGTTCCCGACGATAATTCGCGCCGTCGAACTCTCCGTCGCCGGGTCGAAAGCGTAAAGCGCAGTGATTTGAACTCCGAACTGCCATAACGGTGGCTACAACCGTGGCGAAATTTTACCCGGTGTCTCCCGACGATCTGTCTCGCGAGATATTCACCTTTGCCGGCGATATATTTCCGTGCAATAAACGCGCGGGACTTATTTCCGGTGCTCTTGGCGATAATACGAGTGCGAAATTCACCTCCGGTGAGTCGAAATCCCGCGGGGATGCGAAGAGGATTCTCGCGCCGTCTCGTCATGTCGCAATCCACCTCGAAAATGGACGAGGCAACGATTGAGTTTCTCGAAGTCAATATCGATCTGGATCACTATCGATTATCGATTTTATTAATATAGAAGACCCGTTAATGCTGTTCCACTCCCTAGTAGGAGTGTAAAGCCAGCGGCACGCGATACTTGTTTTCGTATTAGAAATTTGAAGTTTCAGTCTGCAAATTTTCGAACTTCCAGGATTTACGTATTTGTCACGAAAACAGAAGAATTTTGTACGGAACCCATCTTTTGTTCTTTAACGCTCGTGTGCCACCTTGCCCCGCTTTCTCCTGTGTATTATTGAGGACTAAATAACGGTATGCATGCACTGTATGCAAAATCTATTCGGTTATATTTCCTATTCCTACGTAATATTTTTGATTGGAAATTTTCGATAGCATTATACCTAGAAAATGAGATGGCACTAATAGAGTTTTTTGTATCGAAACGTTCGATACAATCGACACCATACGCTTCATACGATTCAACGTGGCCATCTTGGTTCGAGGCTTTTCGCAATGTTCAACAGCAGATTGCGATCGTTTCGTGTTTGCTGTGTATTTTCAAACGTCAGAAGTGAACCCACGCGCGAACGAGTGCCGGGAATGTTAAATTGTGCGGCGAGCAATCGTTCCAACAATCAGTGTGCGCGAATGTAATTAAACGCGATGTAATTCGGCACTCGTGACGCTTGTACTCATCGTACCGCGTCGGAAACGAGTAGACGTGAGTGAAGTGATGCTGATAGCGTTCGTCTTTCGTTGGACTGGAACAAATGCTTCGAGATCCATCTTTGACGGCTTTCGATAAGTTTACGCCTTCCTTGCCCGTACTTGTTACGTGTTCATCTGTGCGGCTCGATGACTCGCAGATAACCGGTAACACTGACATTAACGTCTATAGTTTAACTCTCTGATGTGATAATCATCAAAACATTGTAAATACATCTGGAGGTTAGTATCTATAATATATATGCAACATTCGTTTCATGACTTATTTTCTCCTCCTGCTCTACCGAATTTAGAAACATGAAGTCGATAACTGCAACGATGATAAGGTAATGTCGACAATCATATGTGTGTTCGCAATTGTTTTTATAAAACGTATTTTCATCATTTGTGTGCAAATGGGAAATTAATAGATATAATTGCAAAAAATATTGGGAACATTCTAAAATGTATTTTCGATCGATTAATGACACAAATGCGTGATATATTCCAAAATTGCCTTACGTCGATCTATTTCAGATTACTTGCGGTAGATGGCAACACAAGTCGCATAGACATCTACTGACTCCTCATATATTCGCTCGTAATATTCTCTGATACTTATTTCTTTTACTCTATGACAACATATTTTAGTGTAAGCGTCTCTTTTATCTTTACAGTTAATTAAGATTTTAATTTAAATTATATAATAGTTCAATTTCATATGTTCCGAATACTTCTAACTTTCACTTTTTTTCAGTTTTTTATTTCTTTATATATTTATTAGTTAATTCAAATTTTCTTTTTTATCGGCAATAGCTAAGACTAAACGCATATGCGAGCGTGATTACTTTCTGTTACGTTTACTATTTTTGCCATCAGATTCTCGCTCCAATTTCGTATATTTCCGAATATTTTAATTCAAATAAAGGAAAGAAATATATGTTCGCTATAATTTTCGAAAAGAGTTCTATGCCGTTATCTTTTTAAAAAAGTAATAGTAGTAGCTCTTAAAAATCATTAACTAGTCCTAAAAAAGTTTAACAACACACATTGATTACTCTTATATGATTACTATATATTATGGTTTATAATCGTCAAATTTAAAGCAGCTCAATACGTTCTTATGGAATTTATTCACAATCATATTTATAGCCTATTATGCAAAATAATTATTTCATAAATATAACATCTAATTTTACTAAATTCCAATATTATATATACAATTAGTTTCATTTTCATGATTAGAATAAAATTCACAAGTACTTAAATATTTAACTATCTTATTGAATATTGAGTTTTCTTTATCTTTCGTCATTTATCTGTAATGGTTGTAAGTAATGCGGAAAAGCAGCAACACAGCAAGCTGTTCCGACAAGAAACAGATTTATTGCTAGGAGATATAAATGTAGTATCGTTGAATAAAAGTTGTATTCCTGCAATATAGATAATCTCTGCGCGTAATTACCGTGTGCAAGTTAACATACGTATCAGATAATTTATCGGACTGTTTAATTACTAAAGATACTGCCCATCAGCATCTTGATGTACGTGTTTAATCCACTTTCTAAAATCATATTTAGCACGACACGAAAATTACCTTTGCTAGACGTAATAATCTCATTTCAATATTTCCAAGTTGCGACGTAGTACGCCATAAATTCATAGTTTTGAAAATGACGCGATTATGTAAATCCACGTTCTCATCATCGGTTGTATAATATTTTTTTTTTAAATCGTCTCCAATTGTCCACATGGGACATTGTACGCTTTTAATGATAATAATTATTTAATAATAATTTATTTATCTAATAATAGTCAAAGCAATAGAAGAAAAGCATCCTTTAATCATGAAACTTTCGGCAAGTTAATCCACTCGTATACTTTCAAATCGCGGGAGAAATTGCGACGAGATACGTCGTGGATCGACGTGGAGCTTTTCAAACGTCGATTGCCTTCGAGTCCGCAAGTTAGAGCTGACACTAAATTGATGCCGAACTGGCACGTTCGTCGAAGAAATTGAACCTGACCTTATTACAGAAGCAAAGTGTCGATGGACGACCAGCTTGATCGGGTGAATAGATCGGATCGAGACGAACGAGTCGTGCCAGCCACTCCCTCGACTTGGCCGCGGGCGATTGGCGGCGATCGATGTATCTGTCATTCGGACACGTCAACAAATGCCAGAAACTTTCTTTTCGTGCCACAAGTACAATCTCGATGTGGCGCCTAGCCGAATATTTATTTACTCTGCCGTGCGCGACAGAGAATGGAATTGGCTCCCACAAAGGAGCCAATTACGACAGGTTACAAATCGGCGTGAAATCCGCTTGAGTTCCGTTCAATTAACCGCTTTCTGTTGTTAATTTGATTCAATAACAATTACGAGTATATTGGTAATTTTACTGGAATGGAACATCATCAATAACTGTCATTTTACTACAAGTGTCGCTTTCAAAAGAAAATTAAGTGTTCCGAAAGTATTTATAGACTTATTCTAGCAAAATGTACATTGATGTACTTCAAAGTGGCAAGATCACCTTTAAAATTTTAATCGTGTCTATCCTAATCGAAAAAAATAACTTTTTTTCCGATGGACTTGACCCATATAAAAACAACAAATTTACTTATCTTCAACAATTTTTATCTATGATAAAAGTAAACTTTAGCCTATATCTTGACTGATATACAGTTGGGACTTTTGCTTTACAAAAAATAATGTCACCTGGTCACCGCTCATCATTCCCCGATGGTAGATGGAAAATAACCTTGCAAAATACACCTTCTTAATTGATTGCCTCACCTTTTTATTTAATTAATTAAAAATAGTAACAAAAAAGTTGAAAAAACAATGATGAGATATTTGCCAGAAGTTCAAATCGTTGAAAATGATGATTCCCATTATGGTATGATTTACCGGGTGTACGCCAGGTGTCACTCAAGGTAAACGTTCCGATTATTTTCCGGGAAAAACGGCTGGTTGGAAAATTCTGATTTTAGCTTTTTTAAAGTCCTTGGATCCCAATTACTCTAAAGTGGTATTTGGATCTCAATATTTTTGCAGCCTGACCCGAAATAGGTTGATTTGTATATTAGAAGTCTAATATTTCTAACGAAAGTAGACTGACGAGTCAGAAATTAGATAACAGACGGGTTGGAACGTTTCAGCCTTTTGACATTTATGTAAGCATTATTCTAGAGAAAAAAGGACTTTTGATTATTGCTTAGTGTCAAAGTTCTAAATATGAACTTTTGAGTGCGTGAATTGAAACCTTATCCTTATGTACAGAGTGTCTGTCATTATGTTCTTCATCCGTCATATATTTGTAGTTTAAGTCAATATAAACGAAAAAGCCTTGTACTATTTTGCAAACAATCACGCAAAGTTAGTTATTAATTATTGAAAATGACCATGTATATAGGTTTGAACAATTCTATTCACCTTTTTTTTTTTCATTGGTTTACTCGCATTATGATGGAATTTCAAGGATGATAATCTCAATCCCGAAAGAACGAGCTCTGTTCGCTGCAAGCGGATCGAGAAAGCTTCCCGTAGATCGTTGCAATTTATGGCCTTTGCAGCGACACGAGTCGCGAGGCACGATCTCTTGCAGCATTAAAGAAACACCTACAAAGAATACAGATTATCTCGAAGTGTGTTTCTTCATATTTGTCCTTTTCACGCTCTATTCGAGATAATCTCCACGACGAAGTAAATATATGATTTTTTCTTGTTCGTCGATTTTTCGGGGCCACGGAGGTGCTTTAAATCCGCCGGCCCGCGACCGGTAAGAACCAGACGTAGAAGAGCAAAACGAAGGAAAACCGGGATCGATTTTCACGGCCGTCGAGACAAGAGACCGACTTTCCTCGCACGATACGGTGACAAAACGAAACGCGAACGCGATAGAGCACGGTCGTGCAGGGTGCCATGGCATTCTTACCCGCAGCACAAAGTGCTGTGGGAGTCCGTGTCTTTACTTTCACTGCTCGTGGTGTGATCTAAGATGCGTTGTCCCCCGTCGCAACCTTCTCGCATCCTAAATGACCGTTGGAGCGATCCGACGTGGTCGCGAATCGGGGCAAACGAAGAGCGACCGCGAGCAGTCCGCGAATGCCGTGCGAGCGGGCGCGATCGCGCATCCCTCTCGATCCCGATCGATTTGTTCCGGCCGCCGATCGGACAATACCTTTGCCATTCCCGTTCGACGGCAAGACCGTTGGAATTTGAATTTACATCGCGCCGGGCGAAGACGAGCCGCGGATATTCCAGCGTGGCATAAATTTCACGAAACCTGTGTGTATGGCGCGGACAGCCGAGATATCGGGAAGGAAAGAGGGAGATAGAGGAACAGCGAGAAGGAGAATCTGCAACTGCGAGAAAACGGTGGGGTATATGCGGCGCCAATCGTCTCCTAAACTACAAACGAAAGGGAAAGGAAGAGTTACACGAGGAGCTGCGTGTCTGTCCCCGTCCACTCGCGATTCGATCGAAGATAATAGAGAGGGAGGGAAAGAAGAGAAGGAGAGAGAGAACAACGTCGATTGAAACTCGGCGATTCCTCTCAGATGGATTTCGCGTGGTGCACATACCGGTCCTAGAAAATCACGTGACTATTTAATTACTTAACACGGTTATGCAAAGAACGATTAGCCCACACAACATTCTCGGATGGGGATCTTGAAAAATTAGATGGGAGATTTTAGCGTCACAGGTGCTGAATGGGTTGCTAAAATACTGATCGCGTCCAAATAACCTAATATTTTTAGATAAAGTAAAGAGGGAAATTTTTAAGTCGCGCATTTTCCTGTTCGACGGTTGCTTGAGAGTGACGTTATTGCATTCCGAGAGAAAGAGAGAGAGAGAGGGAAATAGCCATTGGTTATTCACTTGTAAAATATTTATTCGGCGGCTCACCACACGTTGCGCGTGTTTGCGAAACAAAATAATATATTCGGAAATATCGTTAATTAAACGAATGATATACATCGCCGTCGCCGGCATATAAAATATTCTGCAATCGATGCAAAAAGGTGTTTCATTACCCAACGCCGCCGGTTCTTCTCCAAATCGTGACCTTTAACGCCGTTCATGAATTCGATGCATCTCATATCAAAATTCTCTTTCCACAAGGTTGCCTGCACCCAAATTCTCAGTTTTTCAAGCAGGAACCGTAGAAAAATGTCAATTATCATATTAATCATCAATTCATTGTTCTCTTACATTAAAATATAAAATAAAATTGGCACGAGAATTTGAATAAAATTATAAATTATCGGTCGAAAATTGAACAAGGAATTTATTTCTCTCTGAAATTTACATTCTACTTCATATATCTTCTATTATCTTGTATCTGGTATTCACATATAGAGAGATAACTAATTCAAGCACAGACCGCTAAATTCATTGATATGCTAAATTCGCATTCCTCCGTTCCTCTCGGCATATAACAGATATGACATCACACTCTCACACACACGCGCGCGCGCACACACACACACACACACACACACAAACGCCTCTTAATTACATTAATAAATGATGTAATGTAAAAAAAAAAAACGCGTAAACAGATAGAGACAAGCGCGTAATTCGCTACTTGACTCGCTTCCTTGCCGGCTTGGCGTAAGCCCGGCGTAAGTCCGCGCGTTCGCCGACAGCATTACGCGGAGGGTGAGTGTGCGCGTATCATTAAGAATATATCGGAGTCACACGTACGCTATTGCGGACGGCTTGTGCACGGGTGGTTGCTGGCAGAGTGAGAGTGCCATATATATAGAGAGAAGGGGAAACTCGGCTCGGCACTCCAAAGTACACAGCCTCCGCGATTGCAGTGGTGTGCTTTCTTACGGTTCCTGCCACCGTCGCCGCCTGATATCCATTCCTCGCCGCGGCCTCGCGCCCAGTGGTTAACAGCCGGCCACAGATCGGTGCTTTCCGCACGTCGCAGCCGCAGAAGGGCACGACCATCCGCAGGGCCAGCCAGAATTCTCGGGCGGTCGGCACCATGAAACTTACGTTGTTCACGTGAGTACCGCACGAGCCGTTCGTTGTAGAAGCGAGAGCCCATGATTTACAAGATCCAATTTTATACAGGAGGTCTCTGTGAGGTGGCCTTTATAAATCACGGACCCGTCTCGCTCGAACTCTTTAATTTCTCTTCTCGGCACCTAGCAAACTTCACGGGGCATAATTAGAATCAGCGGACTTCTTCTTCTTGACAGTGTTTTCCGATGTTTATCATTTTGTATAAAGCTTCTGTGCTTCTGTTCAATGAACCCCTCCCGAGTCGTGAGTCGTTCGTATTTCTTTTCCATGAATTTCGGCCGGGGAAGGTGGCGAGTTCTTATCGCTCCGTTTATTTTCATTTCGGACTTCGTGTAAATAGAGCGTAATGTTCTATGGGAGAAAACTCGGAGTTCCTCCAATCCGAGTGTAAATAGATTAGAGATCAAAACGCGACATCTGCCGATATCAAGCTTGCCTTGTAATTTTGTTGGCTGTATTTCGAGAGAATTAGAAAAATCTACTTATCCTATATAAATTATTCAATTGCAGCCGTCACAAAGCAGTGCACTTCCCAGACAGCCCAATATCCAAAATCGGGACATAAGATGTCTTTTAGAGGTCTCAAAAACATGTTAAAGACGTCTTATATCACGATATCTTAAACACGACTTCAAGACGTCTAAAAGACGTTTCATGTCCCGATTTTCGACGTTTGTGCTGTCTGGGTTGAATGTAACATATTGTTTAGCTCTACGATATACCATCCAGTGATTCGAATATCGAAAGAATATGACGTTGACAAGAAACAGTTACGAAAGGAACGTGGTTAGTAGCGTTTAACGGTGGGATTGTTCACTCGTGTATTGTTACTTCGGTCAATTCCGATTGTAGATTATCCACAGATCACCTTTAGGTGGCTAAGTCGAGTAACTCCAAGGCCGATTGTATATTCGCGATCGAAAGTTGTGTATACCCTACTTACGTCTTTTCCAGGCCTCTAATGCCTGTCATCTGTTGCCTACGTCATCAAAATCACTAACGCCTTCGTGAATTGCCGCTGCTGATAACTTTCGATCGCGCCGACCGATTTGCGGCGTCTAATGGCTAATATATGCCAGATTGTTTTGTAAATATTCCCGCATGCGTTAAAGATAACGTATGTGTGTCGCAAATCATGAAACACGTGTTCCGACATGCAACAGGTTATTTAATCATTACGTTTCATTAAAACGTCGCTCATTGGTTAATTCACGTTGCGCCCGCGTCCCACAGTATTTCGATTAGATTCATATTCGGCCGAAAACGCGGCCACGAACGAAATATTAATAACGGAATGCAGAGAGGCGCGTTATGCAAACACGTTGCAGTAGCTGCTCGAGCTATCCTTTCCTGGTCCTGACCAGGAAATTGATTAGAAAAGCTGCGGCGAGAGCGAGAGCGCATAACGGTAAATATTGAGACTGATTAACGTGCATTTTCTTGACAAACGAGAAATGAATAACACGTTGGCGTCATCGTGGTTTCTCCTTGACATTATTCTAACGAGATGTACGCTGTATGAGGTGTCTTTTTAAACCTCCTGTCATAAACCGGTAAAGATATGAAAAAGAAGAGAACATTTATTAATGTCGAGGCGAGCCTCCTTAAGCGCGCGATAAAAGTATCAAATGCCGTGATAAATTTATAATAGCGAATGATAATCAGAAAAGAATAAGCGTGAGGATAAAGAGAAACAATATGAGAACGATGGGGGGAAGAATGGAAATAGGGAAAACCGAGAGAGAGAGAGAGAGAAAAATGAAGCTTAACTCGAAAGAGGAGGAAGAAGGAAACTTGGAGAGAGAGAGAAAATTAGACGTGAATAGAAGAGGGAAGGTTTATCAACTTCGAAAGAATGTCGATACCTGAAAAGGCGGAATAATAAAGGAGAGAGAAAGAAATGAAAGGCGGGGAAAAGATTTCTAACGGAGAACCTACGCACAGTAGATTAATGCGAACGTAATCGCTTCCTTCCAAGGCGAAGATCCAAGCAAGTTCAATGATCCCGCGTCACGACGGAGCTGAGAGCGGACGATGAATTACCTCGGCGGAGAATAGCGGATCAACTATTGGGAATGTATGCTAACGCGAAACCATAACGCTTCGCGGTCCGACGGACAGCGAGGATTACGCTCATTAATTACGACCGGTGACTATTCTCGTTTACCGATAAACTGGTCCTGGCTGATGGAAGAAAAGGTATCGCTGCGAATTCCACAAATGAGCAAATCAATCGCGCGTACGCGGCTTCCTTCGCGTTTCATTTTAACTTTCCACCAAGATTTCTAAATTAATTATGGTGACTTGGAAATACACACACGCACACGTACATAGGGCTCGACTCGAAAGAGAGATGCATCGAAGCATCTGTTCACGAATTCTGGCGGAGCTACGGCCAAGTTTGGGCATGTTGTAACATATTTCGAGGTAACGTCTGTCGAGAATTGAGGACACCACGAGACAACGACGATGACATTGTGAACGATACCCGTTCGTAAGCTGCCTAATTATACCATATTCAATGCGCGGATATCAAGTGCGATCGACGAGTAACGTGTCGCGAATTAAAGAGAATTGATTCGCGATTAATTCCCCGTCGAACAGTACGCACGCATGTTTTTTTTCCCCCGGCGGAACGGGATATTACACGCACCTCACATGGCCAATCTATTCGCGCACACAGACGATGCGTTAATGAAAGCGCAGGTAAAAGGAATGAATTAATCTCGAGCGCAAATCGACCTTGCTGCTCGAGCGCATTACGCTTCCGCCGCCGCGTGTAAAAGTTGCGAAAAAAAACTTAATGAAACTCCAACCGCAGCCGAGGGAGAATCCAGAAGAAAGGAATCGCGCGGTTTCTCATCTCACTCGTTTACAAGGGGATAATTACACTCACAGATACTCCGGAGGCGTGTATTTTTAGAAGACGGATTGTTGTTATCCTCCATACATTGAAATTCATCGACACGTTCACCGACAGACGGGAATAGTCAATGTCATTCGACGGCTGCCGAGTGTGACAGAACGTCGTCACGGCCGTTCTGGTTTCGCGAGAGAGGTATCGAATTCGCATGGTTTTCGCAATCGCGCCGAGTATTCCGACGGCGAATCTATCGATCGGGATCGCCGACTCGGCGTCCCTCTGTGGATCCCTCGAAATTTCTCCCCCTTTCTTCCCCTCGGCACACCCGTGGGGCCCCGAGTTCGGCTGGTTTTCTTGACATTTGTGAGCCGCCTCACGTATGAATGTCCCGTCGTAACGGCGCGGCCAATCCCGAGCGGCGCGCGAGTTGCACGAGAGCCGAGCAGAGAAAGTGAGTCCCGTGTACGTGAATGTCACAGGTCAAAATCCACCTGGTGTACGCGGATCTACCACGAACGCGCGCACGGCTCGGCCGTACGCAATAATCGCTGCAGCGCACGTCACGAGTAGGATCTCTCGTCCTCGGATTCCTTTTTCGATCCTGGCGAAAGTTGCGGCCGGGCACCGTCCTGTGCGCGCGTCCTGCACGAGATCGCCCGACTATCACGGAAAAGAAACTTTCGGCCCGGCTCGGTTACTCCCCTGCGAGAGACGGAAGGACGTAAGACCGAAAAGAGCTCCCTTTTCGGAAGAAGCCCGTTAAAGAACCGTTAATGTAAATTTCAATTCCCGACATGAACGTGAAACGCGCGGGAGAAACAGTTGAATCTATTGGATAGCGAACGACCAAATGCGTTGTGATCGAAGGAAAAAAGAATTTCTGGTTCTTATGGCCCAAATTCGGTTCTCATAAACAGAAATCCCCTTTTCCATCGGCAAAACGTTCGGTTCGTTCACTGTTTGATAAATTCACTCGAATTTCATTTTCCGTGTGAGAAATCATTCCTTTCCAAACTTATTGCTGTTGTTAAATGTCGAGGAAATGCGAGATAAATATTTAAAATCAAATTAATTCGCGAATTAAGTTATGTGTTATACATTTCGACTATACTTTATATCATAATATTTGAAGAAGATCCTTTTTTTTAAAACAGTGGAAGCGAACAGGTGATTTATAAAGGTAATAACATTAGAACTGTATGAAATATAAGAACTACCTTTTGTTTCTAAATTTCTAAGGCAACAGTCGTGTACTCTCACGCGCCAGCTTCCAAGTTTTCAGCAATAGTCTGACTTGCAATATTTCGCTGTTTCTTAAGTGCAGCCTGTCAATTTAGTCGCCGCAAACGCCATAAACTCGTTTCGCGACGGCGTTACGCCGTAGCTTAAATTACGCTCCTTTTTTCGAGCGTGAATATGCCCGTAAGCGAAGATTGTCGTAGCCTCTATGCGATCCTTCGGCTTGCCGCCTTCCTCTTTCTCGGCTGAGAAAATCATTTTCTAATCTCTCAGAACGTGCTCTGCATATGCGTACTATAAATCGCAACTGTCTCCAAACAGTGCCGTTCTTCCGTAATCCGTAACTCCAACAACGTAAAATATAAACGCAAAGGACTATTTACCGCAACTGTTACATCACCTTTTATATAAATACTGTTACATTATTCCCGTTGTTCTAAAGTTTCGCACATAACATAGATTGCAAATTACATATTTCCTCTAACAAGAACACGCTATTTTTACTTACTTCAGAAATGTCACGATTGTATGTTATCCTTTAAAAGCGTCACTTCAGTATAATAATACGGATGATTCAGTGGAATTTATTTAGGATAATTTATGTGGAAATATGTTCGCGCAGTGATCATAAAGTAATAACTATTTTACGGATGGTGAAGCGAATCACAAGAACAGCCGCTAATATATGAAGATTGCAATGCGCGTAACGTATCCTTTGCAGAATATTAGCCCTCTGTATAATAGCCGTCAGCAGATCAGCCGAAGAGGAATATGATTACGAGGAGGAGGCGGCAGCACCGGTGACGCCGGCGCCGACGAAGCCAGCAGGTGGTCGGTTGGGAAGCCTTCTTTCCTCGAGAGGACGTGTCAATGTAGCAAATGTAGGAAAGAAAGGAAGAGCGCCAGCGGTGAGCTTAACTTTCTTCTTTACATTATTTCTTTACGAATCATTCATGAAGAATCTTGGATATATTTTAATCATCTTGATACTTCCGCACAAACTATGTAATCACTATATAATAGTTAATTAAATGTTCGACATTTAAATCTATATTTCAAAAGTAAAATTTGCGAAATAATTTCTTCAGGCTCAATCGACGACGTCGAAGCCGGTAGAACAGGAGCCCGAAGAAGATGAGGTGGAAGACGAAGACGTGCTTGAAGAAAATGAAGAACAAGAAGCTCCTACGACAACGACCGAATCTGCAAAGAAGCTTCGGAGCGGTGGCGTCAGACCTTTCAGGTATCCGCTTAATGGAATCCGTAAAGTTAATTTATATATTGAATATTTCCTTGAGAAATAAGTAACAGGTACGTAAATATAATTTCAGATCAAACGAGGATCTTCTGGCTGCTTTGAAGAGGAGAAGAGCCCAAACCGGATCTAGTAGTCACCCACGAGAAACCGCCGCCACGCATTCCGCCGTAGAGCACACCACAGCTAAGTCGAAGTAATGCGTAATATAATAACGGGAATATCGCCATTGAATGTCATAAATCGCTAAAAATAAAAATATAGCGTTTACTGCAGATGCAAATTTTTATTAGCGCTTTAAATGAACGATAAACGTTGGTTCGTGCTGGAGCCTTCCCGGTAAAATGTCGCTGACTGGCAATAATTGTATTTCAGAGCCACCACGAATAGTCGTGCCAAGGCCAGCACAGGTGGCGAAGCAAGATCGACAGGACGCGGCAGGTTCGGGGGAAGAGGAAAGACTGTTCAGGAAGAAGTCGAAGAGACCCAACAGGAGGAGATTCAAGTGAGACCCAAAACCAACTCCTACCGCAGAGGAGGTCGATCATAAGCCGGTTATTAAGCCGTGATGAGATTTGACCAAACTCTTGTTGACTTCTTAGAAACACAAATCGATCGAATTCGACGAATTATCGGCGCCCAGAAACCGTCTCTCTCTCTCTCTTTCTCATTGTAAGGTTTCAAGTCTTGTTCAAACGACCTCGTCGAGTTCTCGCCGCGGGTTGAAGTTTCAATTTCCGCGCATCGAGACTTCCGATAACATAATTAACACTAAATAAAGGATCGTTATACACTTTGGGCACCAGTCATACCGAGACACTTCGTCTTTCTCGAAGAGCTTCCTTCGTATCTCGACGCATGTCACTAAACTAAAATCTATCAAGGAACAATTGCGCGAAGTGAATGTAACGACTATCACGAGAGGTGTTAATCAGAAGGAACGAAATAGCCGTGTCATGTTCCCCTTTCTCACCGAATCACAACAGACGCGTGCGTCGAACGAAGAGATGATAAAAAAGTGATGTGTACATAGCAAAATACTGCCGTCCATCAAATACCTAAATTATCTAATGTATAAATGTAAATTAATGTGACAATTAATTAATGTGAACAATAAAGTTTCTGGAAAGCGACTCCGTTCCGATGTATTCTACGCTGTCTTTCGATCGTTTTCACGATATGAAGCATCCGGTTAAAATGAAATTTTATTACTAAACAACTGTAATTATGTTATTCGGATGTATGAAAAAGCGGAAGAAAAATTTTATTGGAAATGTAAGCTTGTAAGAATCGAAATTGATTTTTGCACGATTATGAGTTTAACATATGATTCCCTTTTATAATGTATTTCTAACATTTTTTTTCTTAATTTTCATAAGATATCTACTAATTCTTATTTATTTCTCTACATAGAATTTTTACAGCTAAGTGGTAGAATCGATTGAATATTATGCATATAAATAGAGATACACAAACGGCTATTTTTAGCTATGACTAACAATGCTAGAAAAAAAGTCAAGTTAGTCGATTATATCTAATATGCTTCTCTAATGAGTGTAGATGCATCGTTGTACACGATTTATTGCGAAGTATTATAATGATTCTCTCTTTTAAATAGAAAAAAAATATGATGTCCTATTGTTCACCAGAACAAAGGCATGGCGCATTGGAGGCGAATGAACTCTACCGCGAACTGCGTCGTCAGTCAACCATAAAATTATACTTACGTGACAAAAGTTACAACACAGCCTTCTGTTTTTGCATTAAACATAAAAATACGTACGCGTGCGGTGAATGAATTTCAATATCGTCAAATACGTCTCTTAGCTAAAAGGAGGTTTCCTAAATCGTGAATTCCTAGTTGATACTGCTCTCTCTCTCTCTCTCCCCGCATAAGAAAAATACAAAGTCTTTGGGAAATAATACAGACTATCGTAAAATTTAAACATGAAAATTTATTTGTAAATATAACAATAGCATAGTATTTATATAAACTTACGTTGTTCTTTTCACTTTGCGATAAGATAAATCCACGCAATCGCTTTCCGAAGAACTGCACAAATTTATTATCTTTTTATTTCTATATATGTACACAGAGAAAAGGATTTCTTTGGATTTAATATATATGTTTATTTAATTTAGGTTTTTTCATATAAACAATATAATTTAATGTCAAATATCATTTTGTTTGAATGAGAATGTTGTTTCGCTAGAATGAACCATGTTATTTGATGGAAAAAAACAATATTATATAAAAACAATATTTAAGAAAATAATATTTCGTTCAATAAAAAAATTTCCTTGTTTGTTCGTCTCAATTAAAGAAATTTTATTAAATCCAATGAAATATTTCCCTTGGTGTGTGTATTTATATATGACATTTTCTTGTTACTTCATTTCTTTAAATAGAGCCTTGGGAAATAAGAATACTGTCCGCTTTAAATTTTGAAAAGCATCCTCAATAGACATGTTCGTTTTCTAATTTACCTTATCGGCACCGTTGATCGCGGCGTAACGCCTTTTATCGCCCCGTCATACCTTGCGGGTACTCGAGCTGCGAAAAAATAATGATGCACACCTCGCGGAATGTGCACGCGGGAGAAACTCCCGAAGCTCGGAATGTCGGAGGCGTTCGGCGCGTGCACTCCCGCATTCTTACGTCTCGCATTATGCGATTGTGGCACGAGAAGTCGCGCATGTTACCTACCACTCCCGAAACTCCGAAAGTTCGACGCAACCGACATCATGGCCCACTTTATGGCCGATAAATAATTCAATCACGACCTCTCAACGAGCATTTAATTCCTTTCACCCCCGTCGAAATGTCCTCCTGCGCTCCTCGAATTACGGTAACAAATCCGGTAGTCGTCGAGAAAAATGTGCCTCGGTGAGAAAATACTTGCTTTGATAAATGAATCGACTATTATCTAAGCAAATTCACAAAAGGAACAATATCGAAAAGTATTCTATTCAAATACCGGCGATTTCCTCTTCTGCGTTTTTCAATCACACGCACATTATTAGTTCATAAATCTATAACAAGAAAGAATATCGTACGGTTGATATTGTTCGATTTTGCGAATCTCGATTCATTATACTTTCCGAAAAACTCCCGCGGTGAGCAACAGCATAACGAGTCTCGGGCAGAAATAATCCGAAAGCAGGAAATTACGTTCGATCGCGGTTAATTACGATACGCATCGCCGGCTCGTCAAACATTAATCGACTTGTCAGCGTTTAGACAGTGTGACCTATGGACGAGTGTAATTCGTCCGCGAGAGCGCTGAACTTTAAAGTTCATCCTCGACTGGGTCTTGCCGGGCGAGGCGCGCTTATAGAGAAGATTCGCGGTTTCGGCTGTGTGTCGTCCCGCGCCTTGCAACCTTGGATCGATCGCAGCCGCGAGATCGGGGCATTACAGACCGTTGAAGAATCTGCCGGGGAGAGTGCGGATAGAATGCTAGAAAACAAGAAGAAACGAGAAAGAGAGAGAGAGAGAGGGAGACAGAGAGAGAGAGAGAGAGAAAGGTGGTCGCGACCGGGCTCGTAAGAGCAGAAGTGTGCGATAGGCAGGAAAGTGAGAGGAGGTGGCACCTGGTCGGCCTTGAGGCCTTTACAAGGAACATTTCACTCACAAAGAATATCCGAGCCGCGTCATGACACCGGGACGCGGCGTTTTGGCCACGAACGACGAAAGGGAAGGTGACGAGAAGAGGAAAAAAAACGAAAGCACGCCGGCATCACAACTTGAAACTTGACGCGTCCTTCTTGAAAGTCCGAGAGAAGAAGTGTCACACTCTCGGATATAAGACACGTCACGCCGTTAAAACATAAAAAAAACACCTGTATTATAATGAATCGCGATCGAAGATTAACTGTGTTCGAAATTGAACCCTCCGACATCGATTCGCATTTCAACACGACACACGGACAGCTTTACATCTCCTAGAGAATTTCATCCGCGATTTCTCTCAACTAGGAATGTTGTGATACCATGAATGTATTCATACTAATATTGAAATGGATATCTAATCAAGAGTATCAATGTCATTAGCGATACCAGTGTGAGAAAAAAAACATCGATACCGATATTGGTATTGAAATTTTAAAAAACTTAAAATTAGAGGAGATATGAAGAAAAGGGAGATTTGTTTTGCAAGCTACTTTTAAGGATTTCGTATGTTTACGCACAATGATCTTACAATAATATGAAGATGCGTTTACTTTCTGCGCTAGATTTTGCAAGGTTTATGATCTAAAAACCTTGAAAAAGTTGTGCTAAGGCTCCTATGTTCTCGTCATGACTGTCCTTGTGCCGACGTCAGAAGCGAGAAATCGCATCTCATTTTCTATAGCAATATAAATTATTGCGTTATATATGAAAATAAAATAATATACGCACAAAACTCACGATCGACTCCGCACACTTGCAAAAATGTCCGAACGCTTTCTTCTTACTTCAGCGATTAATAAATAACCATAAAATTAACGTGACAGAAATCACGAAAAAAGATCGATTTAAAACGTAAGTCGCATGTTAATTTTTCTGAAGCGAAAATATATGAAGATCCTGAGTGAAAAAACTTAAACAAAAAAGCACGAATGTCGAGGGAAAAAACATCGATACGAAAATAACCGGTATTGAAAGGAAACTATCAGCGCCAGTGTATCAGTAATATTACAACATCCCTGCTTTCAACGTCTTATTGAGATATCGTATAGTATTTTCTTTTTGCGCATTGAAATCACAGGGAATGCTCTCGACGAGGACAATTAGACGGTCATGAGCCCGCACATCCGTGACCGGTGCTGGCGCGCTCAATTTTCCGCGTGTGTGCGAGGACACTCACGCGATATTCTAATCGCGAATCGGGATCGTCCAGCGGTCATCCTTGATCGCAGCGGCATTCCATCGGGAATTTCCCGTTTCTCTCTCGACCTATGGCCGTTGATAGAACCGTTGATATCGGCACCCCCAGTCGTGACGGAACCGTTACCGCTACTTGGTCCGATGGAAAGAAAGCGTCAAACGTACTGTTTACTGTTCTTTGAAACGCGAGTAACAAAAAATAACGAGCAGTGAAAGGAGAGAAATTTTGACGTTCGCTGGGTGATTTCTCAGGTTGCATTGCATGCGAGCACTAAGTTGTTTGCCGGCACGATTTATTACCACCGCTATTACGGCAAAGGTTAAACGTGACTTCTCCGAGCAATTTGCGCGTTCTTTGATTATTTCTCGATCTGTCGCACAAAAGAGTCCCTCTGCCCGGCGCGGATTCTCCGGCAGATTTCAAGGCCGCTCTTTAATAGAAATTGAATGGAACGCGCTACGACTACGGCTTCGCCAACCGTTAAGTGTAACGGTAATCGGGATTTAAATCAAGATTCCGTCGAGTCAAGATTCACTCGAGATAATCAAGGATTATCCTGTACATCCTGATTATCCTTACATTCCTGAAATCCACGCGATTCGTGATAATGTATGTAAATAATTTCGTAACACGCGTTTTCAAGCTCTATTATACTGTCGTCGCATATTATGCGATCAATTACATAATTAAACGCGGTTGCGTGAGATGAATATACGACTTTTAAGTGTGAAGGTGGATATCTCTGGGCAATGCAACAAGTTACATGCTGACCTTTCGATAATGTCGTTGGAGAGGCTGCAAGAATAATCGCGTCTCTATGCGTCACATTTTTCGCGCGTCTGCCTATATAAGTGGACGCAAACATATTCTAAAATACGACAGCCTACAAGGCACTTACTCTAATACCACTTGATATAATGAATATTTTCAAAAGGGAGTCGATAGGTTCTCAACCGCTTGTGAGATTCCGTCACGATTCCACCGAGAACCGTCGTGCTTTCGTTCGGATTGTTCTGGGTAAAATCGGATAAATGTTATGTTCGTGGAAATCGGATAGTAACTATAAAACTTGGGAAAGAAGTTACGTGACCGTTCGTTGCATCTTTCCTATTTCGGTCCGTGAAATTATCCGAGAAACATCAGCTAACAGTAACATAACATCAATGTTATAATTTCCCACTCAATAATATAACTATTATATAATACTCGCGTTATATCGCGTTTACATTATTAAGTGGGAAATTACAGCATTGATGTTATGC